TCCATTTTTTCAGTTTCAGATCTCATGGCATTAGCACGTAACAAATTTTCCATCATTCTTTTCAACTGAACCAAACTCTCATTGGTAGCATGTTGCTCAGCCTGCATGTATGCTTGTTGATTGTTCAAGCGATTAATTGCTTCGGCTTGAGATTTTTCAACTTGTGAGCGTTCTTGTCTCAGTGACTTTTCAATAACATGTTGGATTTCTTCACTTAAATCACTAGACAAATTGGGGTACAACCTGGAATTCGGAGGTGGAGATTCCTCATCCTCTGAAGCATTCCTGCCTCGATCACGTTGGGCACTTGACATTGAGAAAACTTAACTTGCAAGTAAAGATTGTAATGAATGTTCAATAACAAACAATTGGAAGTGTCAAATAAATTTATTTGATTCTCTTTGAATTCAGTAATGTACTTTGAGATTCAATTACCAACAGCAATATCTGATTAGATAAGTTACAGCACGATAATTAACACAAAATACACTAATCTTCTTTATAACATAATATACACTAGAAATGGATTCTCATCATTAAGATGTCGACGACCAAAGTAAAACTTTTTTTAATTCCGAGGACCGAAACTCATCAAGATCACATGACTCGAATCAAGGTCACCTGATTAGAATCACCCATACGAATTTCGGAATATTCCGCATTTGGGTAATTTTTGCTTGTTTTCCCAAAACAGGTGTATTTCCCAATTTGGGAGTTCTTTTGAATTCTTTGTGCCGTATAGTGTGTGATACATAAATTATGGTGGTGAAAATTTTTATGAACCGTGAGACTAGTCAGTTTAACTTTTGTAGTGTAATAGTTGAAGTTTCAAATACCAAATGACCAATATTATAGGTGGAGGATATGAAATTGAGGCTATATGCGAGTCATGATGAGGAGGGAAGTGTGATGGGTAGAAAAGGTTTTCATGGTTATATGTGGTTCGCAAATGAAAAGATGGAGAATCTGCAGCGTCGATGTCACTTGTTTACAAATTTTTACTAGTCTCCAAACAATCACCAATGTGTGTGGTCTTCGGTACTCTCTCGTCAATTTGTAAATTGTGTATTATTACTCGGCTGTAGGAACACATGATCGAGTACATAGGCTATTGACCGAGTACTAGTGAACCAATCATGGAAAGTGAACCATTTATAGAAAACCTTCACCTGATTTAAATGATTAAATCTAGTTGATATTCTCCAAATTCATGCCATCGGATGTAAAAATCTGGAGAGTTTATTGTTTTTGTTTACACTTGTATACCCTCATTCCTTTTTACATGTTTCTCGACAACCACATTTAGACCACGAAGGGCCCTGCAGTGACACAATTTCGAGGGACTATGCGCTTAAGCCTCTGCCCTAGACCCGCTAGCCATACTGTCTTGGGAATGGGCAGTCCCGAGAGTCGAAGAAATGAGGCCATTTTGGGAACTCTGTTTTTTCCAATTTGTGCTCTTTTGGGAAGAGTGCATCAAATGCTGGGACATGGGCTCTCCCATGACGTAGTTTGGGTGAGAACACTGAGAATACCAACTTCCTTAGCCATCATCGAGCTCTTATAACTCGATATCATGGGCCTTCTCATGACCCATTATCCTGTCGTTCGTAGTCCCTCAGCTCGTTCCTTTTTTGGCGTTCGAGTTTGAATTTTGGAAAAAGCTCTTTTTTTGCACTCAACGGGAAAATTTTTCACTAGGGAAAACTCATTACATCATTATGCTTTAACCGTGAAAGTTTTTAGTGAAATCTTGAACTTTGAACTTGTTTTTGCAAAGACTAGAGAAAGAAAAAAAACAGAGACTACAGCATCGCATTTTTGATCATGTCGAATTGATCAAGTACCCTAGATTTCTCAGTGTGAAAACTTTTCACAATTTGGTATAAATATATGGCCTCATTTCCAAATCCATCCTGGTTTGATACACTTTCAGTAGTTACACAGCTTACACTTAAACACATCGTTATCAATTCGCGGAACATACTAAAACACATTAAATGCCAAACTAAATAAATAAGTGAAGGCATAGATACATTATACTACATTCATATACAATTCTACAATTATGGTTTTCTCAAGATATTCAAGTTCAAAACAACTTGATATTGAAAATGAAAAAAAAGCTGATGAATTATCAATAACGAATCAATCCTCTTCAGATGATCAAGGTTCTTCAACTTCAATCCATTCAACTCATCGTACTTTGAATTCAAGAACTTTGAATTTGATTGCAATGGGTGGTTCTATCGGTACTGGGTTATTTGTTACTATTTCAACTGGTTTATTATACGGTGGTCCATTAGGTTTATTTCTTTCATTTTTCATCTGGACTGGTGTAATCTTTTGTGTTACTGCTAGTATTGGTGAAATGGTTTGTTATTTACCAATCACTGCTCCTTTTATCCAAATGGCTGGACGTTGTGTTGATGAAGCTTTTGAAGTTATCGTGGGTTTTAACTATTTCATTATGATTAGTGTTTATATCCCATTCGAAATCACTGCAGTTAATGGTATGATTCATTATTGGAGAGATGATTATTCACCAGCTATTACTTTTTGTTTACAAATCTTCATTTATACAATGTTGAATTTATTTGCTGTTAGAGTCTTTGGTGAATCTGAATTTTATTTAACTATTGGTAAAGTTGCATTGGCTATTGGTTTAATCTTTTTCACATTTATCACTATGGTTGGTGGTAATCCTCAACATGATGCCTTTGGTTTCCGTTATTGGCAAAATCCTGGCCCATTAGTGGAACATTTAACTGGTGGTTCAATGGGTAGATTCCATGGGTTCATGGCTGCTTTAAACAAAGCTTGTTTCACTATTGTTGGTCCTGAATACTTGTCAATGGTTGCAGGTGAAGCTGGTCAAGAAACTAGAAAAGTTTTAGCTGGTACTTTTAGAACTGTTTTCTATAGATTGACTGTGTTTTATATCCTTGGTGCTTTATCTGTTGGTATCTTGGTTGCTTCAAATGATCCAACTTTACAACACTTGGCTGCTTCTGATTCTACTTCAAATGGTTCATTCTCTCCTTATATCATTGCAATGAATAACCTAAAGATTAAAGTTTTACCTCATATTGTTAATTCCCTTTGTGTCTTGTCAGCTTTTAGTGCAGGTAATTCATATGTCTATTGTTCTTCAAGAGCTTTATTATCAATTTCTCAAAGAGGTCATGCTCCAAAATTCTTTCAATATTGTACAAAGAGTGGTGTTCCAATCTTTTGTATTGCAGTTTCATTCTTGTTTTCATTATTATCATTATTACAATTGGGTGATTCAGCTGCTAAAGTTTTAACCTGGATTGTTAATTTGGTCACTGGTGCTCAAATTACAAATTATTTTTTCATGTGTATTACTTATTTGGGTTTCTGGAATGCTTGCAGAGTTCAAGGTTTGAACAGATCAAAATTCCAATACACTTCATGGTTCCAACCTTATACTGCCATCTTTGCACTTGTCTTGACCGCTTGTATGGTTGGTGCTATTGGTTACACTTGTTTTATGCCTGGTAAATTTACTGTTCAAGATTTCTTGACCAATTATTTGATGATTTTATTGGATATCGTCATTTACATTGCTTATAAATTGATCAAAAGAACTAAATTTGTTAATCCTGCTGAAGCTGATTTAGTTACTGGATTAGAAGAAGTTGAACAACATGAAATGAACTATTTGGAAGAACAAGAAAGAAAAGGAAAACTCAATAGAGATGGTTGGAGATCAAAAGTTTCTGGATGGATCTTTTAAAATCAATCACACATCTTTCATCAACATGATCACCTGTATCATCAAGTGGAAAAAAAAGTTCAATTTTAGAGGTTTGTATTATTTAATTTAGTTGGTTATTTCAGTGTTTTTCTTTTTATTATATTATCACATACATTTTTTTTTAGATTATTATTATTATTACTTGTCATTATTTGGTTTGGTGGAGTTAGATCATAGCATTATTAATAAATGGGGTTCTCAAAATTAAAATATGAATTGTAGTTATAGTTTTTCAGCTTATACTTTCGCGAATTTGGGTTTCGCGAATCCGTTTTACGCTTTTGATGGAACAATTTTTGACAATTTCTGGTCTTTTGAACAATAAACTTCAACCAGTGCTATACATTTCTATCATTCTTGATATGACAATGTTTTCAAGGGTCAAATTCACTTCAAAAACTAGTCTATGTGGTATCAGATCTTTACACAACTTTACTCAACCAAAGTCAATCTCCCAAGCTCAATTGATCAAATCTATAGAGACATCCATAAAGCAAAATCACCCAAGACAACCTTTTCTCAAATCTTTAGTTCAAATCACTTCAATAATAGTGGTATCCGCTCTAAGTACAATTGGTGTTTATTCCGCATATCAAGTTGCTTATAAAAAAGATAAAGCATTTATCCCACTATGGATAAATTCTCATAAAAGAAGTCCAAAACCTGGGGAAATTGATCTAAAACAAATTCAAGAACTTGCTGAAGATCAACTATTGGAAAGGTTATCATTAGATGAACAAATCAAACAAACTTTCAAATTGCCCTTAATTCAAGAAAGTTGCTCAGAATTTGATGTTTGGATTGAAGAGAAATACCCAAGTTTAAAAGGTTTACAAATATCACCATACTCTCCCTTTTTTAAAATAACCAATAAACCCATCAAGGTCAAAAAAATATTTGATCAAATCTTGGAACCTGTTGGTGGAGCACTTTCTGGTGAACCAGATTTTAAAATACCGGTTTATAATCAACATCCAAATAAAGAGAAAAGTTACGATATAGTGTTTTTAGGTAAGGTTCCAATTAGAGGTAAAAATGGTACAACTGCAGAGGTGGTATTCAAAGGTATATTTGATTTTGAACACGTTAAGCATGCCAAAATTTTAAAAGCTCATCTTATCGAAAAAGATAAAGATGGGAAATTATCAAGAAAAATTCTATGGGAATGATACAAGTTGTCATTGTGTGTACATATTAAATTAATCTATATTTATTCTATTTAAAAGTCGTCATCATCAAAATCAGCCCAATCAAGATCTTGATGGTTGGCAATGAAATAATCAAGTCTCTCCATATGTTCTTGTTGCTCTTTTCTTTTAGCTTCAGTCATTGGTTCCGGCTCATAATACTCAGGTTCTGGTTTTGACTGTGTTTGTTCTGCTCTTGGTTTGGTAAAACGATCATGTTTTCTAGGTGATTCTTTCTTTGGTTTTTGATCTGGTTTAGTCTGTGAATTTTTACCATGATCCCATTCACGACGAGCATTTATACGTTCATTTTTGAGCCTGTTGCGTTCCTCTTCTCTCTTGTTCCTTATCGCTTTTTTATCATCTATTGTTACACCTAATCTTGAGGCAAAATCTTTAGCAGCTTTTGAAGGTGGGACAGGTTTTGCTTCTAATTCTTCTTCTTCATCATCATTCTCTTCTTCATCCTCCCATTCATCACCTTCGGATTCTGGTTGATATCTTGGTTCTTTCTTGAATTGAATCTTTGGCTTTGAAGCCACGCTAGACTGCCCATTATCAGTAGATATTCCCAATCTTGATGCAAACTTTCTAGCTTCGGGACTCATTTCCACTCTATCATCATCTTCTTCGTCCTCTAATTGTAGGTTTCTCTCAAACTTTTGACTCAGCTCAACATGATCTTCTTGTTTATTATGTTTTCTTGGTGTATGTTTCTTTGGATGTTTATTTTGATTTTTGGTAGGACTAATCTCTTCCTCTTCAGGTGCATCGGCCCATTTACTGACTAGTGGTTTGCCCTTTTCAGATGTCACTGGTGAAGCCCATTTTGATTCTAGTGCTTTACCTTTTTGAGAAGGTATTGGACTTGCCCATTTTGAATCTTCAAGTTGTGATTTGTTTGGACTAGATTTTGAATGATCTTGTTTTTTCGCTTCTTCCACCAATTCGGGGTCATCTGCCCATCTTGAAATTAGTTTTGACATTGTATAATTTGAGCCTCTAGATTTTTATAAAGAGTAAAAAGATCTGTTTTGATCAAAAGTAATTAAATTGGTTGATTTCCTAGATCTTGAATCATTCCAAAAGGCTGGTTACAAGTTTTTTATCAAACTTGACTCAGAAAATTGAGCCGGCCAACAAAATTTGACACATTATAAAGACCAATGTACATCAAAGATTTGAGATAAGTTTTCATTTAGAATTATATTATATACAAGAATGATTATCGAAACTGAATGACGTGCAGTGGGCAGCAATCAATCTCATGCTGAACTTTGGTTTGTAGCTGAGGAGTTTTCAACATCAGCAGCTTCTTTGTTCTCAGTCTTTTTACCTTTAATTGTAACCAAAGCTAGACAAAGACAACCTGAAGCCGCAAAAGCTAAGTAGAAATTCTTTTTGAATCTTTCGTGTAGTTCAACTCTTGAATCATAATCATGATTGAGTGTCAAATCTCCCACCAAGGCAGCAATAATAGTATTACCAAAACAAATACCTATTTGACCAGCTGTTTGTAAAATCCCTGAAACAACACCTTGTAAATGAACAGGTGTTCCTGTCAAAATATCATTCCAATAGACTTGGAAATACAAGTTGATACCGAATCCAAAGATCAATTCACTAAAACATTGATACTTCCAAAAATTATGACTTTTCCTGAAATCAACTCTTGATAACCATACAGTCATTGTTAATAAAAGAATTGGAGATGCCATAATAACAAACTTTGTCCCAATTCTTTGAGCTGTTTTTTCTTTATATAAGAGAGCACCAACGGTTAACCCCAAAGGAACTGGCAAAACCTTTACAGCAGCAAGAATTGGAGGATCTAAGGTGATATATAGGTTATATTGAATCATAGTACTCATTATTGCAATAAAGTCAATATAGAACAAAAAAGTGGAAACCAAATATTGGAAAAAATTTGGAATGGTGATAACTTCTCGTGGAAATAAAAGTTGAATAGTATATCTCCAATCGTTGGATCCTTTTACCTCTGTTGTAATTTGCTTTGTTTCTTCCTTCTTTTCACTACCTTCAACATTTACTTTAGTTTCTTCAATTTGTTTCAATCTTGAATCAACCTTGTCTTTGTAATTCTGGATATATCCCATTTCAAAAATAACAACACTGAAAAAAACTAAAACTCCAATAACTAATGGAATATAAGAGGATTTCCTATGCCATGATTCACCACCTTCGGTCAGCCCTAAAATGATCAATAAAAGCCCAATAACCAAAAAAATTGATCCTCCAAAATCCAAGTCTCTAATTCTTAAATTCTTGTGACCTTCTGTGATATCAATAGGTATAATCAAGAAATATAACGCAATGAATAGTGTCATTCCAATGGCAAATGTAAAATAATACAATCCTTTATAGCCAATACTAGACATCGAGAAAGCACCACCTAAAATTAATCCAACTCCAAAAATAGCAGTCAATGCTAAAATCAATCCAGTGACTGCTCTTTGTAATGCAACACCTGTAAAATAGCTACCTGTCAAAGCAAAAGCTGAAGGGATTAAACTTGCTGCAAAAATACCTTGTAAGGCCCTAAACACAATCAAAGCGATAATTTCCTTGACAATAACAGCAGAAATTAAGGCAAAGATACTTGTAAAGAACAAACCAATCAAAAAAACATTATGAGGACCCAATGCATCAGCTAATTTGCCTGCAATAATGATGAATGCACCAAGAGTCAAAGCATATGACGCAAAGACCCAAGACACAGTAGTGGTAGTAGAATCAAAACTCTCAGTGATTGAAAAGATGGAGGTTAAAGTACCTGAAACATTCAAATTATCCAAAGAAGTTGCAGATAATATGAATAAATAAACAATTACCTTGTTTCTTCTCTCCATAGGCACAACATTTCGGCCTTTTAATAGGGAATTTTTGATATTTGATAGCATTGTGAATGAATCTAATGGCTTTAAACCTGTTTCAAATCAAACTCATTGCAACAAAAATGAGCCAAATTCCTCCTTAAATAAAATTTCAATTCTTCACAACTCGTTTAGCAGATTCCAAAATATCAACCATTGGCTGTTTGTGACTTTAATAATCAACGCTGAAGCATGCTATTATAAGCCTGAAACTCTTTACGAAGATCTGAATTGGGAAGACTTCATTATTAATTTTTCTGCATCCTTGTTGGTCATTGAGGTTCTTGTAAATACTGATTAAAATCCTCTTGATATAATTGCATACAATTCATCAATAACAGCAGAGCTTGAACTTATAAAAGAAAAAAAAACGAGCAAATTGATTTATCAGCATTGAACTCTAGTTATATATCTTCATGCTTCGGGATTTGACTTGAACTTGAGCAAATAAAATTCTGTCAGCATCAACGCCAGCATTACCAACGTCAGCAACGTTACCAGTATCATCACCTAAAGCAACAGCAGTATTCAATTACTTGATGCCTCATCGATAATGGCCAGCAAAGTTTGTATATTCCATTTGTAATTTGGCCAACAATTCAACTTTTCGAGTAAGAAGGCATCAAGCGCTGTGTTGATGGACCGTATAGATCTTGCCCTAGATACCGTTGTTAGCTGTACATCCCATTTACCATTCATCAGATATGTTGCACCATGATCATGGTAACAATTCAGCAGCAGCACCTATCGTAGCACTAGACGTTGTTCCGCTCTGAAGACGTAAATGAGTATCGTTAGTTCAGAAATGTACAAAAATTCAAAAACCCTGAAGTTGTAGTGATATTAAATCCGGCCGAAATCATTGTCGAAAAAAAATTATTTGAAGACCTGAAAATCTACCTTTCAACCAACAATAACAACAACATTTTGTTAAATAAGGTGGTCTAAAAAATTACTTACATTATATAAAACTGAATTCTCTATTGAATGGAAGTCTCTTTAGAGTTTTTTCTTTTTTAATGTGTTGAACTACCGAAGTTTTTAATTTAATTTTATGAAAAGGAGATCAATAAATTTCTAAAATATATATCTAGTTTTTGAAAAAGGCTCAAAAACATTTATAAATTCATTAACAATCTAACTGTAGATCTACTAAAGACAGCTGCCTAAAACTTAGCTCATTAATTAGCTATTTTTATGGTTTTATATCTAATTACAGCATCTGTTGATTACGTAAGCAAAAAAGAGTCTAGCAAGACTTTAAAAATAAAATTTTCAAAAAGGCACTTTGGCCGAGTGGTTAAGGCGAAAGACTTGAATTATTCAAGGTATCTTTTGGGATTTTCCCGCGCAGGTTCGAGTCCTGCAGGTGTCGTTATTTTTTTGGAGCCATTTTTGCTAATTTTTTGGCCTTTTGAGTGGGTATTTCACTTTATTTTTTGCTTTTATTAATGTATGGGCTACTAGAGTACACTCTGATGTGTTTTTTTGGTCTGGAAAGCCTAAGTGGTTGATGGTTAATGTGGTTTTAAACATTTGGATCTATTCCGAGAATGAAAAATCAACTTTAAGACACGAAAAACTTAAATTCTACAAGATATTTAACTTATTAGTCCTATTATTAATATACAAAGAAGAATATCTAGATATTCCATTATAACCGATAACAATCATAACTAAAAAAGAAGCTCAATAATTAAACAAACAAAAACTAACAATCACGAAAGGGAAAACAAGTAACAGAAATGAAAAAAAAAACACAAACAATTCAAAGGCATTATCTATCAATTCAAAGTTCTTTTGTTAAAGATTGAAATTTAGTTGGATTTGAAGCACTCAATTCCTTTAATTTATTAATATGATGAATTGTCTTTGCAATTGTTTGAATTAATAAATTAGGTTTCAATGGTTTTGAAATATATTCATCCATTTGATTTTGTAAACATCTTTCACGATCACCCAACATAGCATGTGCAGTCAATGCAATGATTGGAACTCTAACACTAAATGGATCCATTGGATTAACTTCTTTTTCCCACTTTCTAATTTTTTCAGTAGCTTCAAACCCACCCATAATTGGCATTTGAACATCCATTAGGACGACATCATAACGTTTGTTTTTAACTTCTTCAAAAGCTTCTAAACCATTTTGTACCACATGTACTTCATGACCATATTTTTCTAGAATACGAACAGCTAATTTTTGGTTCACCAAATTATCTTCAGCTAACAAGATGACATATGATTGTGGTGTGTTATCGTCACTTGGAACGACTCTTGATTCTAGTGCAGGTTTCAAGTAACCTGCTAAATCTATTAACGAACATGGTGTGTTACCATAAGATTGAATACCAAGATCTAGACAAACTTTCATGTTCAATTTTGGAATCATTGGATTTAGTAAAACAAATGGAATGTATTTGATTTCTGGTAATTCTCTTAGGGACTTACCAATCTCTAATGAATCAATTATGATAACATCAAATTTAGATTGTTCTTCTGAGCTAACTTCTGCAATGTCATGAACCACTGTAGGTCTTAAATTCAAATCAACCAAATCTTTTCTAACTTTTTCAGTTTCTTCTTTTGAATAAATTGTGGAAATGAATAAAATTTGATGTAAATTGAAAGTCAATAGAGCATCTGATTGTTTACTTAACTCAGCCTTAGCTGGTGAAGTTGCAATAGTGAAATAAAATTTAGAACCTTCTTTAAAAGCAGATGTAACCCAAATTTCACCACCCATTAAATGAATCAATTTTTTAGAAATTGATAAACCTAATCCAGTACCACCGAATTTTCTTGTTGTCGAACCATCAGCTTGAGTAAAAGTTTCAAAAATCAAATCCAATTTTTCCTTTTTAATACCAATACCTGTATCAGAAACACAGAATTCTAAAGCTAATGAACTATCTTTTTTGATCAAAGGTTCTGAATCATTTAATAGCTTATTACTATTAGTACCAATAACATAATTATTATTTTCAATTGTTTTGGAAATTTGAGTTTCTAAAGGTTCAGTAGCCTTCTTGACACTCAATTTAACATGACCTTTTGAAGTGAATTTGATGGCATTACCAACCAAGTTTAAAATAACTTGTCTTAATCTGAAAGAATCACCAATTAACGAGTCTGGGAATGAACTATCAACTTCATAAATCAATTCTAATGGCCTTTCAATGGATTTAACAGCTAAAGTTTTCAATGCACCGAAAACAGTGCCTCTTAATGAAAATTCAGCTTCTTCAATTGTCATTCTATTTGCTTCAATTTTGGAAATATCCAGTATATCATCAATGATTGTTAATAATGAATTTGCCAAGTTATGAACCGTTGATAACATTTCTCTTTGATATTGAGTTAATTCGGTATCTAGTGTCAATTGAGTGTAATTCAAAATACCATTGAATGGAGTTCTTAATTCATGAGAGAAAATACCCAAGAATTCTGATTTTGCACTATTTGCCAATTCAGCAGCTTCTCTTGCTGCAGTGTTTCTTTTAATTGATTCTCTTAAATTGAAAACCATTTGATTAATCTTAGTCTTTAGAGTATCCATTTCACCACTTGCTTCCACAGTAATGAATTTTGTAAAATCACCATCAGTGGCAGCTGCAGTAATTTGAGCAAAAGCTCTGACTTGAGAAGTTAGATTAGCAGCCATTACATTAACGTTTGTAATAATTTCTTTCCATAACCCATCGACATCACTAACTTGAGCTTGAACACCCAATTTACCATCTATACCGACATCTTTAGCAACTCTTGTCACTTCACTAACGAAAACTTGTAAAGAGTCAACCATCTTATTGATAGTGGATTTCAATTCTAAAATTTCACCTTGTGCAACAACATCAATCTTTTGAGACAAATCACCATGAGCAACAGCAGTGGTAACAGCAGCTATAGATCTAACTTGATTTGTTAGGTTAGTAGCCATTGCATTGACATTATCTGTTAAATCTTTCCAAGCCCCCTCAACACCATTAACAACAGCTTGACCACCCAATATACCCTTTATACCAACATCAGTAGCCAAACTTGTAACTTCCATAGCAAAAGTTTGTAAAGAATCCACCATTTGATTGATTGTTGATTTCAAATCCAGAATTTCACCTTTACAATCAGCAGTAACTTTTTTAGATAAGTCACCTTTGGCGACAGCAGTTGTAACATTTGCAATATTTCGAACTTGATTTGTTAAATTTGTAGCCATGGCGTTCACATTATCAGTTAATTCTTTCCATATACCTTTAGCACCAACAACTATAGCTTGACCACCCAATCGACCTTCGACACCAGTTTCTCTTGAGACTCTAGTAACTTCAAATGCAAAAGTTTTCAATTGATCAACCATAGTATTAATAATTTCTTGTAATTCCAAAATTTCACCTTGAGCATGAACATTAATTTTTCTTGATAAATCACCTCCAGCAACAGCTCTAACAACATCTGCAATTTCTCTAACTTGGTTAGTTAAATTTAGGGCCATAACATTTAAATTATCAGACAAGACTCTCCAAATACCAACAGTTCCAGCACTTTTAACTTGACCACCTAATTCACCATGAGCCACTTCAGTAGCAATTTTAACCACCTCAGCAGAGAAAGTGTTTAATTGATCAACCATTGTATTTATCGTTATCTTAACTTTTAAGATTTCTGGATCTGGTTCATCTTTAATATCCACTTTTTTAGTAACATCACCCATTGCAACAGCGATCAATACGTTGCCAATTTCAGTTAGGGCTTGTCTTGATCTTTGTGTGGTTTCTTCATGTTTATCTAATTGTTGTTGTTGAGTAGTTAGCTTAGTTATAGCAGCTTGACGAAATGATTCCAATTCAGATTCATCGTTTAATAAAGATTTCAATTGAACTGGATCGTTCAAGATGGAGAGCACGTCAACCGAGCTTCCCATTTTCTGTCTCTTATTTGATGGAATTTTGGGAATAAAAAAATCACTCTTTGTTTTGGTTTATTTGATGGCGCTGCAGCAGCGATTGAAAATTGATCCTTGTACTTGAATTCTATATTTGTGATAAACACACTAGGAATGTAGATGCCAGGAATGTGGGATGGATTTGAACACAGCGGTTGAGTTTCTTTAATCCCAGAGTGCAATGAAAGATAGCAAACTGAAGGTCTATTTGATATACTAGCCACCAACTTTGTCAAAAGTCCTTTCAGGTTTTGCGTTTTTCTGAATTTTAATTTTGTTGATGATGATGATGTTTTTTGTTGATTTTGGTTTTTTTTGGAAACGTACCTTTTTTCGAGTCGCGCAGCACGGGCCTAATTTTGGAACTGATTTTGGGTGGTTTGTTTTGAGATGAAACAGAGTGGAAAAGTGTATGAAAAGTGGATTTTGTTCTGGGGATTATTGTGAGAAGAGAGTGTGCGTAGGTTGTTGAGGCTCGTATGTATGTGCTCGTTTTACCAGCACCTGGTTTTCCGTTAAAATCTCTGCTGGGTCCTTTATCGGGGCTTATAAGGCTCAGGGTGCAACTAGGTGTATAGAACTAAGGATCGAATTATCAATTACTGGTTATTCAGACCCTTGGCTCATTATATTGTGCCTTCTCAGTATAGTTGTCGACTCATGAATCAATGTTGTAGTATATCTTGTTGAAAATAGTGAAGTATTCTGGCAAATTTTACTACTCACTATAGTCAACACGATTATTTCAGAGAAGTGCCATATAACATTCAAGTAATGATATAAATTCGATACCAGGAAGAGCTAATTCATAGAATTCGATTGATTAATTAGATTCATTGTAGTATAAAACAGAATATTGATCAGTCTACACCAGGCATTGGGAAATGAAAAAAACGTATGTAGTATTGAAACCAGTTGGGATACTCTAATTAAAGACTCACAACAAAAAGCGTCAATACTGAACATCATCGTGATATCACGGAATAGCTTTGCTCCCCTGATCTCTTTTGTTATCGAATTAACTTCATAAGTAATCAATCACAGATAGTCAAAAGATTGGCTAGGGATCAGATTTCACAACCTCTAACTCTTGAAAGTCGAGATCGTTCAATCCAGAAGCTCATGATAACTGTCAAACACAATAAGATTGAAAATGCACAGTTGGAATTGCTTAAAGACAAGGGCTGTTTACCCAGATTCGTTAACAGTTTTCAATGGTACTTATTTGCTAAAGATGCTGCAATTCACGAGAGTCAACTCGTTGATCTCCGACAATAGTGTTCATATCAATACTCCATATATTGACGATTTGGCCCTTTTTATCTTCCAATGACCCAAGGAAGTGTTGAAAGAGGTAATCAAAGTATTAAACTAAAATGATTAAGTTGGTCGGAACTTGGAAGTGTTGAACTTTTTTTTTTGTATGTGCTTAGTCAGCTTAAGCCTCTATACAAAAATCATAACTCGACGTTTCTTCGTTCAATTGTTTTTAAAAGGTAAATTTGTGGTTTGGTGTGAGTGCAATCCCATTATTGTCATTGTCGTTTTTGTGTCTGACCGCTTGATGTACGTCATTGAAAAATTTAGATCGTTTTTGTGGTTGCCTATAGAAATTCACATTGTTTTGTGTTTGTGATCATGCACACAAAGATGAATTACTTAGGAGAATAATTCAATTACTATGGTGTTTGTGGTTTGTGGTTTGTGGTTCTGTGGTTGCTTTGGGTTTTGTGTCATTGGCGTGGAAAAGGTTAAAAGAAGGTGGAATCCCAATCAACTTGTATTCTTTTACAATTCATAATTCACTGTTGGTGCTTTCATTCATTTCCATTCATCATTCAATTCCAGGTAGACAGCTCATGTTCATTAGACCCTTGATATTCTTTATGGTCTCACAGTTCACTTTGATGGTTAGAATTGTTATTATTTGCCAGATGAATCTAGTGTCCTTTGAGATACGTTATCCTTGTTTGATGAGTTACTATTATGACGGTCAGTGGTGGGCTTGATTGATAGGAAGTACTTTGATTCACTACCCCACTGAAAGATTCGAGAGCTTGTTCTTTTGAGTTTAGTATTTGGGTTTCATTGTTACCTTGAACTTATATCTACAATTATGGGAGGATTCTTGATGAAACTATAACTTTTCATTTCAAATAACCTAGGATGACTATTATGTTTACTTGATTCTGATGATTTTGAAGAACTTTTTCCCCAGCCTCTTTGTTTTTCCATAAAATCGATGATGATTGTTCTCATATGTTGTTCTTGAATTTGTGTTTCAAGATATTATCCCCCAATGGTGTTCTTTTGTTTCGTTGACATCTACCCCAGGCCATCATTCATTGTTTATTTCCAATTTTTGCTTTTTGGTATTATCATTTACTTCTTTTGCAATTTCATGATCACTCATTGTGACGTTTAATTACTAACATTTCTTCAAAGATATTTATTCATCATTCATTGTTCATTTCCAATTCTTGCTTTTTGGTATTATCGTTTACTTTTTTTATTATTTCTTCATCGATCCTTGTGATGTTCAATTACTAACTTTATTGCAGATATTTATGTTTGTCTTGTCATTTCATTTTGGGGTTTTATTGTTGACTTTCCATTGCTGTTGTATTACACCTGTTTACTGTTCATTGATTTTGTTTTTCCATGTTGTTACAAACTTTTTTTTAACATTGTCATTACACTTGTTTGTTGTTTTTCCATTTGGTTGTCCTTTGGATTTGTTTTAAGGATTCTTGATTTATTCAAGTTTTTGTTTTGGGATCTGGGGGATTTTTTTTATTGTGGGATCTGGGGGATTTATGTTTTATTGAGCATGGGTACTGGGGGCTTTAGACCATTTTGATTGTGTGGGATCTGGGGAATTTACTTTTTTATTTACTTTTTACTTTTTTTTTCATTATTGGGTTTCTACAAGGTTCAGTTCTTCATGGTGGATGTATTCTTCTTGAATTATTTTGAAATAGGGGAACATAATGGAGATTTTTGCTACATGTTTTCAATTAAAAGGTTTCAATGGGTGAATAGATGTTGAAGGTCAATTGGGTGGACTACATTTAGATGAACTTATGATTCCTGGAAACTTGTGAAGATTGATGAAGTTATGATTTCGGAATTTTTCAGCTTTTGATGATGATGTTGATGGGAATTCATTGCTTGCTTCATTTTCCTGTATAGTGCGGGAAAAGTATTGAGTCAGTCAAGATGCCAATTTATTGGTAGAATAATGTTTTCTTTGAAACTAGTCAAAAGTCATAAGAAGTTTACAAGAAGCCAAAAACCTTAAAAAAAAAAAAAACACAAATTGTAAAAGAACATGAACTTGAAGCCTAATAATTTAGATCAGTTGATCTATAGTTGTTATTCCATTCAAACAAATGATATTGATGATTGCAATTGAGGATGAAACTGAAAGTCAAGGGCCCTGGCTGAAGTGGAAGATGATTTGATTGTTATTAGATTGTCGTTTGGGGATAATAACGCGAGGTGTTTTTTACAGCTGGATCTTTCATTGATAGTTTGTATT